AAGGTACCCCTTTTTGTGAAGTTCTCCCTTTATTATTTCAAAACTGGTGGCTCGTTTTTCAGTGCTGCCGCCTGTTAATGATCATCCGGCAGTGTACCGTTTGTCAGATATGCCCTGATTGGATCCATCCAGGTTGAGCTTCTGTCTAGGATTCCAATAGGATCTTCCTCGATGCTTCTCTTCTCCATTACTTCCCAAAAAACAGTTCGAGGAGTATCAGAGGAGGCGGATGATGCTAATTTTGAGCTTGATAGGTTGGTCTGTATACACGACGACTGCATGTGCCAAAAAGTAGGGCTTCAATTTTTTAACAGCCATGAAGAGTGCAAGACCAAATTTCTCCACTAGGGGATACCTCAACTCGGCATTTTTCAGTACATGACTGACAAAGTAGACCGGGAGCTGACAACCGTCTCTTTCAGCAAGGAGAACAGCGCTTAACGCATGATCAGAGACGGCTAGGTACATGTAGAGTACTTCTTTGGGCAAAGGGCTGACCAGCCTCGGCAAGGAATGCAAGTGAACTTTCAATTTCTAGAAGGCGGCCTCAGCATCCGGCCCCCATTCAAACCTTGCCTTTTTCTTAATTGCCTGGAAAAAGTATAAGCATTTGTCGCCTGATCGGCTTAGAAATCTTCCCAAGGCCGCCAGACAGCCTGTTAACTTCTGAACCTCTCGGATGGTACGAGGCGACTGCATGTCAATGACCGCCTGCACCTTCTCAGGGTTCGCCTCTATTCCTCTCTGATTGATAAGGAATCCAAGAAATTTCCCACACTCAACCCCAAATACACATTTCTTAGGATTGAGCATGACATGGTGCCGCCTGAGTGTGGCAAAAGTTTCTCGGAGGTCCGACAGATGATCTTTCTCGGGGCAGAATTGTTAACTTCTGAACCTCTCGAATGGTACGAGGTGACTTCATGTCAATGACCGCCTGCACCTTCTCAGGGTTCGCCTCTATTCCTCTCTGATTGATAAGGAATCCGAGAAATTTCCCAGACTCAACCCCAAATACACATTTCTTGGGATTGAGCATGACATGGTGCCGCCTGAGTGTGGCGAAAGTTTCTCGGAGGTCCGACAGATGATCTTTCTGAAGTTTAGTCTTGACAATCATATCATCAATGTATGCCTCGACATTTCTCCCAATCTGATCAAAGAACACAGTGTTTATCATTCGCTGGAAGGTAGCCGGGGCATTCTTAAGACCAAACGGCATGACCGTGTAACAGTATAACCCTTGATCAGTGATGAAGGCCGTCTTCTCCTGATCTTTCTTCCACAAAGGAATTTGATGGAAACCAGAGTAGGCGTCCATAAAGCTCATCAAAGCATGGCCGGCTGTTGAGTCGACCAGATTATCAATTTTAGGCAGAGGGTAACTGTCTTTGGGGCACGCCTTGTTTAAGTCTGTGTAGTCTACACACATTCGCCAGGTGCCATTTGGCTTTTTAACAAGCACCACATTTGCAACCCAGTCTGGGAAGTAACATTGCCGAATGAACCCTTCATCAAGTAATTTTTTAACTTCGGCAGCTGCCGCCTGACTTCTTTTGTCGCCATGGTTCCGCTTCTTCTGCCGTACCGGCTTCTTTTTCGGATCCACGGCCAGTTTATGTACCGCCAGATCAGGACTAATGTCTGGCATTTCATGGACTTCGAATGCAAAGATGTCCTTGTATTCTTTCAATAGTTTATGAAAGTTGTCACCAAGGTCTCTCAGAGCAGTCGTCCCAACTTTGACTGTTCGATCAGGACGCGAGTCGTCTAAGATCAGGTCCGTATGCTCACCAGCCGGCTGAGGGCGGAACTCATCCGACCGCTCCTCTGCCAATGATTGCTATTTTCTTTCTTTTCTTGCGGCCTCTGTCTGGGATGCCTTTCTCTTCTTGCCGCCTGCTTCTTGGACAGGCGCAATCTCCTTGACATTGTCAAGGTCTGTTTTTCCACCACTTGACCCAGTGGCCATAACAGTGGGCTTGACATCCGAGAGATAGCACTCTCGGGCCATCTTCTGATCTCCCCTTAGGGACCCGACTGTTCCATTATCCCTCTTAAACTTGAGCAACATAAGAGATGGGATTATAAAAGCCTTGGAATTATTCAGGGTTGGTCGTCCCAGAATCATGTTGTAGGCCGAGAGTTCTTCTACTACCAGGAACCGGACTACCATGTGTCGTCCTTCCCCTTTTTCGCCCAGGCCGATGGGTAAATCCACTCGTCCCAGTGGGTGGACGACTCCTCCTCCAAACCCTACTAAAGGGTGGGAGGCCGGATGTATGCAATCAGTCTGATATTTTAGTTTCGACAAACATTTGCTACTGATGAGATTTGAGGAGCTTCCGGTATCTATGAGGATTCGGCCAACTCTCTGGTTGGCCACTTTACATTCAATAACGATAGGGTCGTCATGCGGCCCTCTTACCCCTCCTAGATCTTCTTCAGTGATGACAATCTCAGGAAATGAATATTTGGACGGCCGTTCTTGGTGAACGGAATTTACATCTAACCGCCTGATATTGTCTTTGTTGCCCCTAATAGTGGGGCCGCCTCCTGAGAAGCCGCCTGCAATGGTGTAGACGACTGCATCATCTGTATCGGAGCTGTCGGCCTGTTGATTCTTTTTGGCCGACTGCTTTTTTGAGGAAGTGTTCCCCGTAAATTTCTTGACATAAGTGTCAAGATCACCTTGCTCAGCCAGGCGGTCCAGATACCGCATGAGACTGATGCAGTCATTGGTGTGATGACCAACATCATCATGATAAGCACAGAATTTATCTTGGTTTTGATTGTTTGCAGAACCCTTCATGGGGACCGACTTCTCAATTGAGATCCGTCCCTTGATTTCTTTTAGGATAAACTGGTTATCCTTGTTAAACGCATACTTTGGGGAGTATGGTTTGAATTCTTTTTTCTTTTTCTGGGCCGGATGTTTAGAGGAATCAGCCGCCCAGACCTCTTTTCTCTTCTCATCTTTGTTTGACGACTGTTTCTGTCGTCCTTCTCTTTTGTCGAACCTTTTCCCGTCCGACTGTTTTACCGTACAAAGATCAGTTGCCTGTATATAGGCTTCCGCTTCAATCAAGGCCTCTTGAAGAGTCGCCACCCTCTTTCGAACCAAATCAAATTTGAAGGTAGACCCGTCTTTGAGACCTCTGAAAAAGTCAGTATAGGCTACCTCATCCGGTAACCCTTGAATCTGTATTCTCATCAGGTTAAACTGCCTGATGTAAGAACGAAGCCCCTCCTTCTCGCCCTGCTGAATTGTTCCTAAATCAAGGGTCGTTTTCTTCGCAGGGATGTTCATGGAGAAGTTGGAGGTGAATAAGTAAGCAAGCGTCCTGAAGCTATTTATACAACCAGTCGGCAGGTTGCCGAACCATTGTTGTGCGATTCCTTTGAGAGTCGCTGGGAAACACTTGCACCAAATGGGATCATCCAACCCTTGAAGGTACATCAGGTTGGTGAATGCCATCAGATGGTCTTCTGGGTTAGTAGTGCCGTCATAGGCGCCTACTAATACATTTTTCACTTTGGCCGGCTGAGCGGTTTCAGTAATTTCCTTGGAGAAGGCCAACGGCTGTTCACCAAGTCTAAGCAACCGTAGCTTCCAGTCCATAGGTTGGACATTTTTTGCTGCATGTCCACCAAACGGAGGTGGCTGTAAAAAATACTGTTGTTGCGGTACAAACGGTAAGTTTAGTACCGCCTGGTCGCTATGAAAGCCGGACTGACGGGAGGTACCGCCTGACTGACTCTCATGATACGACTGCGTATGCCTCATTGAGGTATTTTGCAGACTGTCTTGGAAGTTTGAAGTAGAGGCCGACTCTGACAATCGGTCACTCTTCTTCTGCTCTAGCAGTAGCCGAGCGTCTGTGTATGATTTCTTCGACCCGTCCGCCTGAATATGACGAACATGTTTCCTATTTCCTGTAGGAAAACGGAATTTTGTGAAATCAAGGGCAGGTGGCTCCCGCTTCCTAGATTTAGGATGAGGAGTCGCCTCTCGCCCTTGAACTGGCTTCCTCTTCAGTGAAGTGGAGGGTTTCTTAGCCGACTGCTCCTTGACCAGAGCAGGCGGCTTCTTGTTGATCAACTCTTGAATCTCTCCCTTGAAGTCCCTCATGAAGGTCATGAGTTCGTTCCTTGTGATGGGAGCAGACCCATCAGTCGGCTGTTGCCGAACAGGCGGTGCGCCTGCTGGCTCGCTTCCTGTATGAAGATGTTCCCGTTCCCTCCTTTCGGTATGACGGGTACGTCGGGCCCTTAGGGTCCCGTCTGAAGCTGTGTGAGCTTCAACTTCAAATTCACTCTCAGTATCGTGGTCCGACTGAACTTGAGGGTCGTCTAGGGGACGCCTCTCTTCAGGAGTCGGTACAGACTTGGATGCCATCTCAGAAGTACTCTCCCCACAGACGGCGCCAAATGTTTCGGGGTTTTCTGATGTCCTGCGGGAGAGTTACAATTCCGAGACTGGAACCGGACGCCTGTACCTGCAAAATAACGGAGACTCCTGGTGATGGGAGTTCCGCCTCCGACGGTCAAGTTAGTACTTGATTAAGGAGTAATTAATGCGGAAATTTAAAGTGATTGGGTCTCTCTAGGTGAGAGTGTTTAATGTAGATAATGTTCTTTGTTAGCGTGATCAGCCTGTTATCTGTGTAATTAATGTATGTGTAATCTCTGTAATCCCCCCTTAATGAGGATTAAGGGAGGTATTTATAACCTTGGGAAACGTGTCAATCCTAGGTTTAGGTTAACCTAGGGCTGATTGGGCTTCCCTCGGAAGTTGGGCCTGGGTGGCCGGTTTCTCCATTAGGCATGGAGTATGCCACGTGTCATGACATAACAGGTCCGAGGTGGATGAATAAGCGTGTGCCACGTGGCAAGCCCTGACAGTTCCAACTGGGGGACACTTGGCAGGACCTGATTGGCCCACGTGGCGCATTCCGATTGGTGGGAGCAAAATCCCCTAATCAGATGGTGCTAGTAACATGAGAGGTGAGTGGAATGGTTTGCAAGCATTATTTCTTTCTGATTGTCCATATGCTTATTATGTCCATTGTTTTGCTCATCGTTTACAATTAGCATTGGTTGCCGCATCTAGAGATGTTAGAGTAATACATCAGTTTTTTTCAAATTTGACTTTCATTATCAATGTCATTGTTTCATCTCCTAAACGTGTTGACCAATTGCAATCCATCAAATCTGATGAAATAAAAAGGCTATTATCTATTGGTGAAATAGACAGTGGTAGAGGAGCTAATCAGACTAGTACTTTAAAAAAAGCTGGAGATACACGTTGGGGTTCACATCTTTACTCTATTCGTAGCTTGATGAAAATGTTTGATGCAACAGTGTTAGTACTTGAACACATCTCGAATGATAAGTCTTGTAATTCTTCTCAACGTGGGGATGCTGATGCTGCTTTAGATCTAATGATTTCCTTTGATTTTGTGTTCATTGCCCGTTTAATGGAAGAAATTTTGGGAATTGCTAATGTTCTATGTCAAGCGTTACAACAAAAGTCCCAAAATATTGTCAGTGCTGTGAAATTAGTGTCTACAAATCATGCACTAATTCAGGAAATAAGAGAAAATGGATGGGAAAGTTTTTTAGAGTCGGTGGTATTATTTTGTCACCAACATGATATTTTAATACCTGATATGAATTCTCCTTATATAGCTCGTAGGGGTCCAGCTCGTCATCAACAAGATCGAGTTACAATGAATCATTTTTATCGAGTTGAAATATTTTTAGGTGCAATTGACAAACAATTACAAGAGCTAAATTGCAGATTTAATGATGACGCTTTAGAGCTCTTAACTTTATCATCATTGTTAGAGCCCAAAGACGGATTTAAAAATTTTGATCTTGAGAAGGTTTGCTTGATTGCAGAAAAGTTTTACCCCATGGATTTTACGGAGCAAGAAAGTTACAATTTGAGGTATCAATTGCAACACTTTTTTTGTGAAGCAAAAACTGATCCTAGTTTGACTCATCATTCTACCTTGGAGGAATTTTGCGAACACTTGGCACAAACAGGAAAATCAAATGTATACTTTTTATTTGATAGACTAATACGTCTAGTTTTGACCCTTCCTGTCTCCACAGCTACCACTGAAAGAGCATTTTCAGCAATGAAGATCATGAAAACAAGACTACGTAACAAGATGGAGGATGAGTTTTTGGCAGATAGTTTAGTTATTTCCATTGAAAGGAAGATTTCTAAGTCATTTAGTACTAAGTCAATAATTGATGATTTCAAATTATTAAAAGAAAGACGAGCCTTACTTTAATAGTGTGCTGAAGAAATAAATTGTGACATTTGTATGAGAAATAATTAGATTGTGACACTTGCATTTTTTTTAATTGTTTGGTAATATTTATTATATTTAGTATTCTTATACTCCTTGTTATTATTGTTTTAGACGTATACTTATGCTAGATATTATTGGCCCCCGAAAGAAAAGATTTCAAGATCCGCCACTGGGACAAGGTACGCATGGATTGTAAATAAGTGGTGTATACTATGAGCCTATTCTCTTTATTTTAATTTCAGTTTAATTCAGCTCCAATCAATTTAGTTCAGTTTCTAATTTTTTTCTCTCATAAGATATTCATTTCAGTAAATCAAAACAAACCCTATGATTCTATGAACTACACGAGCTCAATATGACTTTTCTCATGATCTATTTTAAACGCGATCCACCTGAATACAAGACACACTAGCATCACATTTGGGCTTCGAGAGCACGCTTATGCGGTTATGCCCATTGAGTTGTTATGAAACTGCAACTTTCAAGTTTCAATAATTTCTCAGTTCAGTACATATTGTAACTTCCTCGAAAGTTAAACACACGTCCAAGTTGGCCATAAAATATCTAAGCAAGTAGGAGGTAACTAACATTTAAAATTTTAACCAAACCTTTAAACCAAAAAACTCCGCGCCAACTTACCACTAATTTTAGTCAACTTTGGTGACCTTGACTTTATTCCAGTAATACCCATCCTTTATTTTAATTTAATTTCTTCCCAAAAATAAAATTATATCAAATCTCACAAAATAAATTCTGATACACAAATAATTTACTTCCAATTGCAGATAAGATACAATACAATTATAAAATTTCTCATTTTTAAATAATCAAAATAATATCCAAGGATAAAATCGTAATTTCCCTTACAAAAATTCAAAGTTAACCCGCAATTTCCTACAGAGTTTCTTACGTGTCATCGAGTAGGACAAACTCAATCTCAACCGTCTCTATCCAAATCAATCACAACCGTTGATTTGAAAAAAAACCCTAATTTCAATTTTCCGCTCTTTCTCTCTCCTCCTTTTTCTCTCTCCTACATATATAACTCACATTACTCTCTTCCTACTCTCCCCCTTTTTTTCTTCACACCCAAAAAAATAAAAAAAGAAAATAAATAAAAAATTAAAGTAAAAGATAAAGCGAGAAGAGCTTCTGGATTCTTCTTCTTCAATTAAAATATAAAAATTAATTTAATTTAATTTAATTTTTGGTGAAAATGGAGAAATTGCCGGCGACGGCGAAGACGGCGACGAAGGAGGTGGTGTATGTGGGGTGGGAAGAGGTGTATGTGTGTAGGGAGAAAGGGAGGAGAGAGATTCATTATGTGCTGAAGAGAAAAGATGGAGGTTCTGATCTTGCTGTTATTGCTAAAGAGAAGAGTTTGAGGCATATGACTTATCGATTTTTGCTGGATTATTCATCTTTTGTTAAGCCTAAATCGAAGAAAGAAGTTGTTGATTGGCTGAATTCCTTTATTCCAGGTATTTTTTTATTTTGATTTTGTTGTTGTTTTAGGTTTTTATTGATTTTTTTTTTCTGGGATTGGGTTTGGGGTTAATTCATGGTGTTGTTTTTGATTGATTTTTTCTGGGTTAGGGAGGTGGTTTAATTTGTTCGAGGTTAATTTTAGATCTGATTTAGTGGTTTTTAGTCTAATTTTTGGGAGATTTGAGTTTTTTTTTTTTTTTTTTTTTCCAATTTTGTAGAGGATAATGGGAATTTAGGGTTGGTTAATTTTACGGAGCTTTATTTTCTTCAACTTTGTTTTTTGGGTTTGTTAATTTGTTTGTTGATTGTTTTTGAAAGTTGCAAAATTTTGCATTTTCAGCTAATTTTTCTTCCTCCTTTGCCTTTTTCATTTAAATTTGAAAATCATTTTTTTTATAAAAAATAAATTCAGCCTTTATGAGGATTACAATGTTTATTGGAAAGATTTTATTTTTTATTTTATTGTTATTATCAATGTAATATTTGTTTTTTCTGGGATTTGGGAGGTGGTTTAGGATGAATTTGAGTCAATTGTTCTAGGTCATGTTCAGATCTGATATTCTGTTTTTTTTTACTCTATATTTTGAGAGATTTGGAGGTTTTCTCCAAATTTGTGAAATAATTGGAATTTTGAGATTTTTCGGTTTAAGTTGCAAAATTTGAAATTTGTGCGGTTTTCCTGCGTTCTTCATCAAATTTTGAGAATCATGGATTTCTTTTCTTTTTTCTACAAATTGAGCCATGATGAGGATTGAGATGTTTGAGGCAAATTTAATTATATTTTTTTATAAGAAGCGTTCTAGATCTGAAATTCTATTTTTCCGCTCATTTTTTCCTACATAATTTATAGAATTATTATAAGTTTGAAATATGTGGCGTGAATAGTGTTCTTAATGGAAAAGATTGAATCTTTTGCCTTGATTTTGGACTAGAGAGGTGAGCTGAATAAAGGGATTTCCGTGTTGAATGTTTTATGCCGAGGTATTGAATCCTTTATTTTTTTGGCCCCTATCTTATCTCTAAGATTTCCCTTATTATTGCCTCAAAAAAAAAAAAAAAAAAAGAAGTATTACATTTTCCTCAGAGAATAAACATCTGATTTAAGAATTAAGAATTAGGAGTGATTTTTTTTTTTTTAAGGAATAGATATATTTTGGGGATGAGGTATCAGATCTTATAGTTATAACGTTTGTCAGGAGCATTTATTAGAATTGAATTGAATTATATGCGATAATTACTCCAATTGATCTGTTATTATTTTTGTGATACTATACAGAGTATTATTTTCATTGTTTAAATGGTTGTATGTTTGTTGGTGGGTATATGTGATTAGGGTGTTTTTGGGTTTTTTTTTAGATTGTAATCTTTGGGTTTTTTTTATCTTAATTTTTTATTTTTATGATTTTGTTGATTGCTTATTGAGTTCAGTTTTTATGATTCCTGGTGGTTTATTCTTTTGAATGGTTGCACTCTCAAGTTATTTGCATTGGAAACTTATTTATTCTATTCTTTTAAATTGGGATACTTTATCTCGGCTTGATTGACGTGGATTCCTGTTGGTTCTATTCTTTTAATTGGCTTGTCACATATTGAGTTAATTGATTAAAAATCCTGTTGTTTCTATTCCTTTGAGTTGTATGATTGCTTATTGAGTTGATTGAATTGGAAATCCTGTTAATATTTGCTTTGAAGTTTAGAGCTAGTTTTTAGGAGGTTCAGGTTCTTTTTGCTTGTGATCTGGTATTGCAGTTAAGTTATTACAGGTTTAAGGATGGTTTTATGTGTTATTTTAAATTTGTTCAGTAATTCTCTCCCCGGATGTTTCCATTTCCTTTTGTGTTGCCGTTTTAAGTTGTTCTTTAAAAATTGCTTCCTTATTATGTAAGCCCTTGCCTTGCGCTTAATAATAGCTTATTATGATCTGGGCTGCAGGATTAAGAGCTGGTTGAGAGCATTGGCATCCTCATGCCCTCATCATTTATAGGTTATGATCTAAATGTTCTTTTTCTGCTGCCTCTCCTCCTACATCAAAACCGCATTTGTGTATTTTGCTGTTAACTATAGCCTCTTGTTTTTGGTATGTAGTTCTCAGATGAATGCTGTGTTTCAGTAATCACTTGTTAGGATAGTGTAGCTTTAATTGGCGTGGTGTGATGTTTTCTCTTCTCTTTTAACTATTGTGAATGATGTCTTATTGAAATCAATGCTAATTGTAATTTATCTGATGATTGATTACAGAATCACAAACTCCTGTCACTCCCCAGTTAAGTGGTGGATCTTCTGAAGGAAGTGAACCTGATGTATTAGATATAGAAACAATTAAGGTACCTATCTTGAGACTTTTTATTTACTTGTGATGTCGAAAGTGATTTAATGTTTGGATGTTTTTTACTAGGGTTTATGATTTCTTATATATATATATATTTTTTAATTGTCAAGGCCATCCAACTAAAGAAGCTAGGTCATCATACCAAAGAGTTTCAATGGTTAGGCTCCCAATGGACATGCAAAAAGAAGAGAAAGCACTATAAAGCTTTCCATCGTAATGGAGTTAAAGTCATGGTGAGATTTAGTTATGTTATCTGCTTGGATATTTCACATTCTTGTTTGTATTCATCTGAAATATTGTGCGATTCTGCAAGTTTAACATTATTCTATAATCTTTATTAATAGGTTAATCAGTTTGTTCGTGTATTGGCTGAGGAGAACAAAAGACTTGTAGCCTACTTGGATGATATGTATGAAGATGTGAAAGGAAACAGGATGGTTGTGGTACGGTGGTTTCATAAAATTGACGAGGTTGGTATTGATTTGCCTCCCAATTTTAATGACAGAGAGATTTTGTTTTCTCTTTGCCTTCAAGATCTCAGTGTTGAATGCATTGACGGATTTGCCATGGTTCTAAGTCCCCGGCACTATTCCAAGTTTGTGTCTGAAGCCCAGCATGCTATGCTTCGACCATATATGTGCTGTCAGCAATATGACAGTGATGATCTCAAGCCTTTGGACATAACTCAAGTGAAAGGTTACTGGGAGCAGGATGCTGTCAGATACATAGCTTCTCTTCCTTCAGCAAGGGTTATTGAGAATACTTGTCTGCCTGAGGATTCCTGGAAAAAGGAAGATATCAGTGCTTTCAATGGTAGTAAACCAAGGAAGAGACTGCGTTTATCAAGAGAGTTCAAAGAGGACATGCAATGTGCTACTGTAAGAGGTTCTTTGGACACTGTTCCCGCAACAGGTCATACCAGTGCCGGTGTAGCGCAGGGTTCTGGCTTCACTGTATATAGAAAAGAGAATGTTGAAGTTGTAGCGCAACACACAGCTGTGGGTTCAGTGGTTGAGAATTTGTCGCAGGATAGTGGGATGTTTGGTTGTTGGTTTAGAGCAACCATCATTAAGAAGCACAAGAACAAAGTAAAGCTACGTTATCATGACATCAAGGATGCAGAGGATGAAGCTAAATGCCTTGAGGTAATTTTCAGCATCTAGACCAATATTTGTCTGGGAAAACTGATAAATAAATTGGGAATAGACTGCAACTCTTTTATATTGAGATATTTGCTTGCATTTTTTATGTTTGAATAAATCTCATTTTTGTGGAGTACTGTTATCTATGAAATTTTAGAATTTTTTGTTTATCAGTCTGTCCTTTTCACAAAATTTCTTAGGTGAATTATTTGTGCTTAATTTTGGTTGTGAAACCACATTTGGTAGCCTTTATCATATTGATATTGTACATTTGTACTTGTATTAAAATAAATAATGTAGAATTTTGGTGGGAGGGAAAAGGTAAAATTATTCCTGTCAGCTTTTGTAATTGTAATTGTTCCCCTCTTATATGACAACCGATTTGTGTCTTAGTTTTTGTTTTCTTTGTCACATACAAGTATATATTATGTGTTTTCAATTAACTAAGGAATTGATTATATTTTCAGGAATGGGTATTAGCATCTAGAATTGCTGTTAGTGATGCAATGGGCCTTCGACTTGAAGGTAGGACAACTATCAGGCCTTCTCCGATAAGTGATGGCAAAGTCATGTGGGCCATCAACGTCGGCACCATTGTTGATGCTTGGTGGCATGATGGCTGGTGGGAGGGTATTGTTATCAGGAAAGAAGCTAATGAGAAACTCTTAGTTTATTTTCCAGGTAAGAAGCATTCTTGTGATATCTTGGTATTCGGTTTCTCTGTATATTTATTTAAATTATTATAACTATATCTAAATTATAAACTAACGAAGGATAACTCTCATATTAGGTGAAAAGCGAGAAGCTGTCTTCTCTCGAAGTGATTTGAGACATTCCCAAGAGTGGGTAAAGGGTGCTTGGAAAGAATTTAGCGCAAGGGCAGATATTGCAATGTCCATAGTGTCTGACCTGAAAGTGGGAAAAGGTCTGAAGCATGGCCCCGAAAAGCATTTGCAAGCTTGTGTTTCCAAACATCCTGAGTGTGATATCGGTAAAGATGAGCGTGGGTCTCAAGATTTTTCTAATACTTTCCGTATAAGTACAATGTACAAGAAGGAAAACAGTACAGCTGTGACTGATCTTTTGAAAGATGATTACCTTTCACACTTGAAGTGGGAGTCATCATGTAAGAGAAAGCGCAGTGGACTTGTTCAGAAGCTGCATCCTCGTAGGAGCTATGGGTTTACCCCTGAAAGAAGACGTGACAATCGTGAGGTGTTCCGTGTACCTTCCACCTTAAAAGCTGAAAAAGAGCATCGCAAGTCTGTTAAAGTTGACCGTGACAACTGCAAGTACATAACTGATGCTATTTTCAGCCCATCTGTAGTGCCGTCTTTAACCAGTCTTGTTATGTCCAGATAGTTTATTTTCTATGCTTGTGAATCTATCTTTAACAAGGCATTTAGGTCATGGCAGTATTTTCTTTTGTGCTCATCCATGTGAAGATAACCATCTCCGTTCTCCTTGCTACAAAACTGGTGGGGAAATAGGATTGTCATCCTAGACAAGGGCGTGGTGATAGAGCAAAGATGTGTATCAACTCATATTTAACAAGGACCCACAGGTGCGAATTGATTTTGAAACTGTTGGGAAGTAGTTTTGAGTAAGATTTAGAATAACAAGTAGGAGTATTTATTTAGGTTAGGATGCTAGGTTTTCTTATCTCTTTTTTGCTTAATTATGCAGTCTTTAACCTCTGAAGGCGTAACTTTTTACTTTGCCTAGGATTCTGTTAGTTTTGTATATTACCGTTAAGTAATAAAGATCTCACAGCTTGTATCGTTTGTATTGTCCTCACTGAAATGAAGATATATGGCATTTTAGTGATCTGACTGATGGTGTATTTGTGTGTTAATCATGGACATGAATTCTTTATATTATTAAAAATGCGCTGTTTGTTATAGCTATTGAGTAATTGACTAATCATGCTCATGCTATTGAATATTTTGGAGTAATTACAGTTCTAATTGTCCCTATCCTCGTGCTCCTAGGTCTTTTATGCCTGTGCAGCAAAGGGAGGATGCAGATCTGACACTATTTCTGTGGGCCAGTTATTGAGCAATATTGGTAAGATTTGTCTAACTTGACATCTCTTATTTTGGAAGATTACGTTGGGCGTAAGCATAAATGGCTTTCATATCATCCTACTATGTTGAGACCGATTAGTGGGATTCGCTTGCTTGCTTCCAAGAGAGACCCCTCAATTGAACAAACAGCTCTTCGAAGAGCAGGTGGTTAAACAGTTGCCTTCTTGATAGATTTGTACCATGCTGTAGGACTTGCCTTAAACGGGATGGTTATCTCCTATGAGAACGATCTCATTTTTCTGAATTTGAGCAAGCTGGTCATTGAGGATTTGAGGACCATTAAGAAACTCGAGCTGCAATGGCTAGCAATCCAACGAGATAAGTCTCTGGATACTGCAGATTTCACACCTTCACTTGAAATCTCAGTCTTTCCTGTCTCATCTAAGTGGGTTTCGAGCAGGGATTCTACAATTTTAATGATTTTAACAGTTGTGGTCCATGGACTGGTAGCTCTGGGGCGAAGAATACTGGGGTCTGATAGAACCAAAGATGACCAGTATAATCAGGTGGTGATTTATATGGCTGAGGTACAGAACAGTGCTGAAAAGAAAGTGCTCATGCAAGATAATTGCTTTGATTACCTCAATTAAAGCATAGGCTAAGATGCTCCAGCTTTTGCTTTACTCTTTAATTCTTTATAATAGTGGAAGGGTGCATTTTCTATTTTGACTTTTGGGTCCCAACCCCATCCTTCATGATCAAAGATTGTATCCTTGTTTATATAAAAATAATTATGAGTATAATATAAAAAAATTCTTCATTCTTCTATTCATCATTCCATTTTAGTGGCGGTATTATAATCTTAATAACTATTTTCCGTTTCTAAAAAGATTGTCTTAACTTAAAATTCTTCATTCTTCATTTCGAGCATGACAATTGATTTCGGAACCAATGTTTAAACTTAAAATTATTCTCAGTACTATCTTAAATCTGTAAAATCGTCTAGAATCAGCTTAATACCCCAAATTTGCAGCTGTAGGGCATTTATTTCTGTTGTGTAAAACAAATAATGACGAAGACTAAAATCAAGACGTTGGCCTTATGAAATTTACCAAACAACCAATTATACATAGTTTTGTGGGGTCATTTTACCACTCTTTTTCAAAGCATCTATATATCAACTATGCACTTAAGCATATTGTAAAATAATGTATACTCCGTATTATATATAAAGTACACTTTCCTACGCTCCTATTACTTTCGTCTGTCTAATCATATTAGATACTGACTTTTCTGCTTCATCAAATTATGTATTATTTCTGAATTTTAGGTAGGAAAAAAAAAGATGGTACTCCTCTTTCAATGTAGGATAATCTGCTATTAGTTCCTTTTCAGTTTTTTTTATCAGCTTGTGGGATTGAGATTTGTTAACGTAAGTATGAATTTTCGGTCTTAATTACGCGTATTATAAAAACTGTGGAGGGCCAGCAGGCATAGTGTTTGTTAGGTAACTTTCGTTATATTGTAATAGAAAGAATGAAGGCATTTGATGTTGATTATGAATCTGCAACGGAGGCGACAGAGGTTATCAGAAGTGATCAGTCTGCTGTTCTTTTTCCTCAAACTAGCCTTGGGTTTATGGAGTCCCTAACCATGCCTGATGTTAGTCGGCGAAACCTGTACTGATTTTTTTCTGTAAATGCATTCAGTTTTCTAAATGACAGTTATATCAGCTTTCATTTTGCTAACAGGTTCAGGAGGTTGTTATATCAGCAGACGTGAGATGCTCAGACTGTCAGAAGAGGATTCTCGACATGATCTCTCGTTTTGATGGTGAGTTCTTTCTTTTAGTCTGAATTCGATGTTGTTGTAGACTTGTAGTTGTCGTAGTAGCTCTTGACAGTACAGGGTGAATATATGCATGTTCGTTGTTTTTCTTAATACAGAAACAGAATCTGTGGTGGTGAATTTGTCAGAAAAGAAAGTGGCTATCACTTGTAAGTACATCAAAGGCTCAAAGAAACAAATTATTGCCCGTCAAAAGATTACCTTTGGCAAGGTTGCTTTGATTAAGCGAATATTTGGATCTTCAAGGACTTAAATTTTCTTGTCTGAATCATCCATGAAGCGCCGTCATACAGTAGTAATGTAAGTAGACAGATTGGAGTAGAGCAGGGTACCTGTATAGTGAAAACTCTTCCTTTTCTTATCTTTCAAAACTTATTTGTATAAGCATCTCTCATTTTCTTCTTTTTGGGTGTACTGTGTGAAGGTTTGTTACTTCAGTGTTAAAAAATTGATCAATTTCAGATGTCAATTCTTTGTTTCAATTGTTATTCTTATGCTGGATATCACGTCTCTTTGGTATTTTCGGACCTCTTAGCTAAGGGGGTGTCTGAAACTTACTTCCGAAACCAAATTTGTACAATCTTTACATCTTTTGTGCTATTGTAACACGGAAAAATACAGGCGCTAGCCTCAAGGTAGATGCCAATGTAACGCGCTACATGCAGACATGCAGTCTCGAGAATGATTAGGCTAGGCAAGCCAGATTCTTAGGAATAACCAAACTCAAAATTTTGTTATAGGTTTTGTACAGGAGGCCAAGTTTATGGACCAAGAAACATAAAGGAATACTTAAGAAAACCTTAGCCCATCTAGGAGGATATTCTAATTACTTACCAATACACTATGATATGACACAAAATACCTAGACCATATATATATGCAGCACATAATTTCATGTTAATAATCTCTATCAAATAGAAGAAGAATCAGATTCCAAAATGAAACCCCAAAAAGTAAAACAGAATTTCTTCAGTAAATTCTTAAATTTCTCCTGCTCAAATCCTAATAATAAAACAAAAGTTACAGGGCAAGTTGCTCCAGTTATTTGGTCCAACCCTCATGAAATGTCTATGTCAACAAAGGCAAGTTGAACCTCAAACCATTTTTTTTTATTTTTATTTTTTGTTCTTGGATTTTATTTTTTTTATTTTTTTTTACTCCATTATCTTAAAATTTTTATGTGAGATTATGTTGTTGCAGTATTGTTGCATGTTAATGAGAATCTCAATTGACTGCAAAGGGTGTTACAAAAAACTAAGACGAACTCTTCTCAATATGAAAGGTGAGGTCGAATTGAGTTCATAACGGATTGTTTTAGTTACATGATTATTGGTTTGTTGTTGGCTTTTGGGATGCAACTTTGTAAACTTTTTTGATAAATAAAGAGTTTAAAATCACGGATAATAGGTTACTAGTCATTCTAAATAAGCTAAATAAGCTAAATAGGGCTACATATATCATTAAATATACTTCCTAAAATGGAATTAAGTTGAGAATTCATGACAAAATCACGTGAAAATCATGACAAAAACACACTAATTACACCGATCTGCGCGTGTTTTTATCATGAATTCCTAACTTTATACATTTTTCAAGAGTAAATTCAATGCTTATATATAGCCCTAAGGGCTAGGTATAGCATTACCCTTAATGTTAATTTTTTCCTATTATTTTATTTTTTTAGCTTCTTATTAAATTATAATTACCTCATCGTTTTTTTTTTTTTTTTTTTTTTTTTGGTATTGGAAGAGTTGGAAACACATGTGATAGAAAGACAATACAACAGAGTAAGCGTATGCGGGAGATTCAGGCCATCTGATGTGGCCATAAAGATTAGGAAAAGGATGAATCGAAGGGTGGAGATTTTGGAAATTCAAGAGTTTGATGAAGGAATTCCTCAAGAACAACCCCTTGATAATCAACCTATGGGAAATGGTCATTCTCATGCTCATGTTGCATAATGTATATTAATTTTTTTTATGAAACCAGCATTTGACCTACACTAAGTACAAAGATGTTTATACTGGCTGAAATAGTGTTGGTTGAAAGGTTATCGGTTCGATGTTGGATAACAAAATTCAAATTAATAGTCCCTGGAATGTTAGAAATACAGATAAGTTGTAAAGTCGGTTTTATGTAAGTGTGAATATATACATACCAAACATTCTAGCTACTAATTGAATGTAGCTGGATTATTTAAACAATTCTTTCAGAAAAAAGGCTTAAAGCAATATTAACTATTCATTGTAAGTATCAATATCAATTTGCTCCAAACGAATTAAAATCAACTAATCTTTCGTATGAAGCATGTAAAGGTCTTTGACCACCCATTTGGGTACTCTCATTGACTTTTTAGGAAAGATAAAAAGATAACTTCTAGTTTAACATCAACTAAATTCTGGAATTCTCCTAAGCTTTCTCAAAACACAAACGTTAATTTTCATATTAACTCTGTCCATATAATGATGACTTCTCTTGTACTTTCTTGCTTTGAGCTTGTCATTCCTAACATTTACGCTTATTCTGGGCGACTAAAGATAACAAAGAATTGCATTGTGTTAATATGGATACTATGCATCTTCTTCGCGAATAGGGAAAAAGATGTCCATCTACTTTGAACAAAGCTCTCCTCATGAAGCAAGTTTGTAGAACGTATCCCACACTACATGCTTGTTTCAAAAAAATTCAATGCTTGTACAAAAATTCCTTTCAAATGTCTATCTACGAGACATGATTCTTACAAATTTCGAGGGTTGATTTAAGGGGATCGAACAAACCTCTATTAAAAGGCTATGTTTGGAAAGTGGGTAATGGATGTTCCATAATAGCACGAAGTTCAAATTGGGTCCATATTACCAAACTTAAGTTTAAAAGAAAATTAACTTAGCATTGATAAGAATTGGACCATCAGTTACTTCATACATCATCAGGCACATTGTTAGAATTCTAACAAGGCATTGAACTGCTTTCAACATGATGTCACTACTATAATTCTTGCTATGGAATCTCTAGCGATTAATAAAGAAGACTTTTGTTATTTGCTATTGATCCCATATGTCTTTAATATGATAAGACACTCGGTGATTATTAATTAGATGACCCCCCAAAATAAATAAATTAAAAACTTGTCATCATAATATCGTGGCACAAAAGAACACAAAAATTCATACAAGTATTTTATTAAAGGTTGTGAAATAAAACAAAAGTTCATTGCTCTCAAGCTAATAAACTCTAGGCTCGGGAAGAGAATTTATCTTCTACTACTTAACCTAACTCCGCTATTACCTTTTGGAAGATTCTTTGGTCTCTTAACATACACAACCAAATTTGAAACTTTTCTTATGGATGCTGCTTCATAATGCACTTGCATTTAAAAGTGAATTCAGCACACATGTGTTCAAGTTCAAGATGTGTTTTGTAACCTTCATAACAGAGGAGGAATTGCTTCATATATACATCGAATAACTTGGAGGGGTGGAGGCCTTGAATTCAATGGAAAACATTTTCTTTTAGTTTGGATCCAAGGTTATATCGGATTTACTATTATTCTGGAAGATTCTTGCCCCTTGAACATAAATTGATGTTTTAATTCCTATCTTCGTTTTAAAGCCCTCACTATTCTTTAATGATGGTGGTGAGAAGTTTAAACTAAACTCTTGGTCTCATACATAAGCTCAAATGACATATTACGTCTCACTTTTTTCTCTTACACCTCATATCTTGTTTACATCATATGTTTCCAACGCTATACCTTAGGGAAACAAGATCAAACTCCTAACTATCTTGGCCAATTATAAATCATGTCATCTTTATAAATAAATACAAATATAAAGGGCAACACAGAATAAAAAGGAAAACTAAATATGCAACTGGAGAAAAATTAAACATTTCCCAAATAATGGAGAATTAAAAGTTGTCTTCCTATACTTTTTATTAATTAACATATTTTTTTAACAACGTGAAGTAGTAACATTATATATGTTTGACATTTGTGCACAACATACAACAACCTATGCTTTATTAATTCATCAATTAGAATACTACAACTATAATACATATTTGACAAAATGAAAAAAAATGATGATAAAAGAAATTCTTTATAAAAAAAAAAAATTAATCAAAGCAGTAACCCGGTACAACGCTCGGGCCGCACATTAGTTATAATTAAGAAACAGGCTGCCCACTCATATCTTATAAACTTAATCTTTTTTCTTTACATCCAAACAACACCAATGTATTCAAACTTTGCAACTTTGATGGTTTTTGACATGCACGAATTTTGTATAACCCCATACACACTAAGGGCTTGTTCTGATATAATTATTTTTAGTTCAATTCAGGTCAAGTTAGTTTAATTCACCTCTAATATGTTGAGTTCAACTCTAATAAGTTCAGTTTAGTTCAGTTCAGCTCCTAATTTCTTTCTATTATAAAATATTCATTTCAGTTCCGTTCAACTCCTAATTTCCCTCTCTTATAAAATATTTAGTTCAGTTCAGTTCAGTTCAACTGTAATAAGTTTAGTTCACTTCAACTCTAATAAATTCAGTTCAGTTCAGCTCAATTCAGTCAATCAAAACAGACCCTACATCCTTAGTCTTAATTATGTGCCCTATGTGCTTACTCCTCGTCCCATGTTACTCACCATCACCTCAATGTATCCACATGGAAAATACATAATCCACTCACCATGTAAAACTTATCGAATCACAATTACTCATTTTATTTAATTTAATTAGAATGTACCAAAAGCATTATATCAGTCACTCACCTTGTATAACAAATATTTAATAATCGCAATTTTTCCAAAAATATGAGATTTAGACTTGATTCTTTTACAGGACTTCAAAATAAATTGAGACTACCTAAAATATAATACTTTACCTGTTCTTTTTTTACTTGATCTGTTTATTTTATCACACTTAACATTGTAAAGCTTTGACACATCATTTTTCTTCATGAGTAAAAATTATAAAGTTATGCTATACTACCTCCGTTTTTTTATTAGTTGTCACGTTTTGACTTTAGCACTATTCACACATCTCCCTTTGACCATGTTTTGTGATTTATATGTGAAGAAATGTAGTCAAGTGAGATTTTGTTATATTCGTCACAATGTATATTTTCAAAACATCAACTTTTTATAATTTTTGGTTATTGGTAATTAAAGATATCGGCAATTGAATTTATGCATTGGCAAACGTGACTAAAGACACGTGTCAATTAAAAAGAAACGAAGGAAGTATATTAAAATAATACTTAATAAGACAAATTTAAAAAAAATTCCACGTATGTTTTTCCTTTACATATTATTCACAAAAGACGGTAAAAGAAAAGCTGCTGAATAGTGTAAAAGTCAAAGCGAGTCAAGTAATAAAAAATAAAATGGAGTACAAATAATTAAAAGGAAAATCATTAACCCATAATAAAAATAGGAAGTTAGCAACAGTAACTCTTTGAGTTATTACACTTACACCCCCGAATTTAATGGATTTCCGGAATTACCCTTTGTGTCTTAGTTAACAACAGTAGCTCTTTGAGTTATTACATTAACAACCCCGAATTAAATGGATTGCCGGAATTACCCTTTGTGTCTTTGCATTGCATTCTTTTTGCCAGCTATAAAGGAGACTACAGGTGTTAGTGTTTTGGCTGCCAGCTAAGGTATTGATGTCTTGTCTTTTAGTATAGGGGTAGGGGATGTCATCGAGGTTTGCTTTTGGTTTGGTTTGGGTTTTGTGTTTCCGTGGCTGATGAGGCTTGGAAGGGAATTCGGTTTGATTGCTGCTATGGCTGAGATTGCCTGGTATGGTTTCCGCTTTTCTTTGCATTATTTCCTTTGATTTGTTGACTTGGATTGCTTTTTGTTGGATTATGAGATTGTATGCTGGTATTTTTAGCTTGTTTGATTTTGGATTTGTTGGTTTGGGCTGATTTACTGCATTGCATGTTTGGTTTGTTGATTGGTTTTTGATTTGTAGGTTAGGAATATACTTAGGGTTGTTAAGTGGTAGGAAATAGATCCAATTAATTCTTGAGATGTTCTGTAGCATTAGTAATTTGTGCATTTGCCTTCTGAAGAAACTTAAGGCAGAATAATGCCTTGGGGACTACTCAATTGTACTTCTGAGGGGCGGAAAAGGACTTGCATTGGTTAATTTAGGGTTACCCTTGTGGGTATAGTCGGTTAAGCGGCCTATAAATAGAGGTACAGGCTGCTGGGGTTTTTCATGTATTCATTTCTGTATTTCTGGATATGGTGCTTTGAGATTGGTTTGTAAAGGTATTTACTAGGTTGTGGTTATTTGGTTGCAAATGGTATTTTTGAGAAAATGGTATTTTTGAGAAAAATGAAGAATCTCTAACGATTTGAATAGTGCTATGATATTTTTTTGACAAATTGGACCTTCTTGGCAAATCGAATCTTAACATTATAATGTTTATAGTTTTTTGTTGCGGTGTAATGTTTTTTTGGGTTACTACCGTTGATTAAGTTTGTAATCCTTGGATATCATTATTCGAATACTCGCGAAAACACTGAAAATCAACTACTATATCTTCTTTATTAAATCAGATAGATTAGTTTGAGATGATCTTTTAAGGGTGTGGTCCGTGTGAAATGGTTATTAATTAATAGTCTATTTTACATGTTTAAAGTTGTGTCTTTTTTTGGATTACAGGTTTGGTGAATCTATTTTGTGGTTTGGTGCATTTAAGAGTCAGTGTGTTTTATTTAGTGTGCAAGAATTTCTAAGGTAATTCCTTACACTTGTTTTATTATGGGTTATAGATTTATTATAGAGCTATATTTATGAATAGTAGTAGTGATTTCTTATGATGTGCTTAAAAATTCTTTGTTGCTTTTGTTAGATTTTTTTTTTATAGCCTTGTTCTATTTTTTGCTTTATTTTGCCTTGTTATTTACAAGGTTGTTGTTTTGGTTGTGCATGGTCTGTTTACAGAAAAGTCCATAGCCTTTAGAGATATTTTCTTTGTTTATTAGGTTGCCCTTTGATTAGAGTTTTGTACGTAGGTTAGTTAGCTCTGTAGATACGCTATATATGACGGTGTTTTTTTGGAAGAAACACGGTTTCCCTGGTCTGAATTGTGTCCTGGATTTTGCCATTACAGGTTATGGCTAGACGAACGAACAAAGTTTGTGTCCCTTTCCAGCCTCTTTTGGAAAAGATTGTTGCTTGGCTCCAGTTTCCACCTCCATTCTATGGATTTATAGATGTTGCTAAGAACAATGCCTTTGTTCGAGTTGGCCGTCCAAATACACGTGCAAGGTTTCTTTTTTGTGGTGGAGATGCCAGTTCGGCAGAAGAGTCTCGCGAAAGAGCAGCTCACAAGGCTGTGAAGCATTGATTGGTCGGTTTAATGTTCGAGTAGATGACTTTACACATGAACGCCTTAAGATGCATCGTCTGTGTGTGAAGCTATATAAAAATAGTTGCGCTGAATTAGTCCAGGAGAGAGAGGACCTGAACCGCATACGATCAAATTGCATTTCAGGGGAGAATGCAGTATTTCATGATATCCATATTTCAGTTGATTTTGCACAATTTCTGGGTGTCTTGGTGAGGAAAACTGGTGTCACTGCAACTGCCATTGAGACTACTATGGTACAGGGACATGGTTATATTTCATGGCTTATGGTATCCTGTCCTCATAGTAATATTATCATGGAGTGTATTTTTAGTGAGCCTTGTGCTGAAGCAGCTACAGCTGAGCAACGAGTTGCAAAGAAAGCATCCTTTTTCATAGCTTCTCAGTTTCATCTAGAAATTGTTGATGCGAACTATGGTTCTGCGGCAAAGCTAAGTGCTGAATGTTCTTTGATACGGGAAAAGTATCTGATCCTGAAAGGTCATCTTGAATGTTTGGAAAAGAGCTCTGAACAATCTGATCTTGCTAATTGTTCAGGGATTGATTGTTGTGTGACACCGACTGGTGAAGAATCACAGATACCAGTCCTTGCTCTTCCACCGAGTCGTCCGCTTAAATGTAGGGTCGTTGTGGAAGGAAGTTCTAAGAATGCTATGGAAGTAGAGACTTCAGAGCGCCTTGTTACTGGTCTGCTAGATTTAGAATCTGTACTTAAGCGTGCTAGGGTTGATTAGCTATATGTCATAGAGCATGCTTATTTTGGATATTGGATTTAAGGACTTGTACTAAGTTGTTAGGGCTACTATCTGTAATAGTAGTATTAGTATGCTCCTTATGCTTATTAGTAACTATTGTCTTATGACTAGGCTGTAGTTTCTGTTTCTATTGTCTATGTACTTCTTTTGATGTAATGAATCTTATATTTTCAGTCTCTTGAATATGATGCTTTGCTATTTACATAATTCTGTTATATATATGTGTTTCTTGTTGTATTGTTTACTGTGTTTTCATTTTATTTAAGGTTTAAAAATTGAATATTTAATCTTTTACAAACAAACAAGAATAGAAGTGTTTGGTTTATTTTGGAGAAAGTCTTCCCACATAATTCCTATTTTGGGTTGCATTTTCAGTTTCAGCAAAGCTTATTACGCTTCAGACTATTTGTTCCAGTGCAGCTACAACAAGAAATTCAAACTCCGTCGTCTGTAACCATGGGTACTTTAGGAACTGTAGTTGCGTTTACCATATTGTGTTTTACATATTTATCATATGCAGCTTTTGTGTTTGAGAATAAATTGAAGGTGTTGCATGCTAGATTGTCGTTATGGTTTACCAAAGCTATCACGCAAGAGTTGTAAACGCTTAAACCAGGCCGCACAAAGAAAAACTCAATCAGCATTTGCGTGGTAAAAAATGTTTGGCTTCTTATCTGTATTAATTAAATAAATTGCTTCTTTGGAAGTATATAACTGAAAGTGGTTTACATTGTAGCCCGTCTATGTCAGATAATCAGTATCAGGATGCAATTTTGTGTCAGATTCGTACAACATAGAAACGTAAATGTATACAGACACTAGCTAATCCACGTGGAGATAGGTACTGAGTGAAGGACTTGGGGTTTGCTTGTATTCTTGTTTACTGTTTTGTTATATCTTGATATTGGTAGATTATTTACTTGGTTTATGTCACTGTGTTTTTTGTTCTGGATTAGCTTTAGGTGCTTAAAATTAACTTGCAAAACTGGAATATGATCTCTGATATTACTAAACTAGCTTTTTGTGCAGTGTATCGCAAGAAAGCGTGGCTACCTGTTCAACAACTACTTCTACTAATCGACTCAAAGAAAGTAATAAATTTCAGTAATGCTTTACATTTTAGAAGTGGATATTATAAATGGTAATAATTGTGGTTTTTTTGTTGGGTTTTGGCAGATCTTCTTGGCGCTGCTACACATCGAGTGTTGCCGATAGATGCATTGAGACTTTCTGCACCTACTTACTGTCCTGAATGTGGTGCAAAGAAATTTATGTTCGAGTCCCTCCACTTTTGCTGTGGCAATGGAGACATTGAAATAGCAGCAAATGAGTATCCTCCCGAGCTCATCTACTTGTTTACTTCAAAGGATGAAATTGATGTTCATTTTCGGAAGTATGCTAGATTGTATAATAACTTGTTTGCGTACAGTTCTCTTGGTGGCCATTTTGATTCAAAGAGCAAAAAAGGAATTTATGTATTCAAAATGCATGGTCAGATATACCATTTTGTCCCAGATTTATTGCCCGAAAAGAAGCATCCTAAATACCTGCAGCTATACTTTTATGATGGACAACATGAGGTTGAAAATAGGTTGGGTTCTTTTCCAGAAGTAAGAGAAGATGTGATCCGGATTCTAATGCATGTGTCCCAGCAAAATCCATATGCTGTGTTTTTCCGGTCTCTAAGAGAACGAGTTGTTACTGAGGACACAAAAATTATTTTGAATCAGAGTCCTGTACTTGATCAACGTGTCTACAATGCTCCTTCTGTTGATGATGTAGCTGTTATCTGGCCAGAAGATGCTTCATCAAGCCAAAGTTCAAGTCCTCATATTATGGTAACTGGGAAATCCAATCAAACTCATCGAATCTATCATAACTATGGCTGCTATGATCCGCTTCAATATCCATTATTGTTTCCTCAAGGAGAATGTGGCTGGACTCAGGGTCTTAAAAAAAAATCTCATCCAAGTAGACGAGGAGTGGATTTACTTCCAGATCCTGTTATGTCTTGTGTTGTTCATGATGCTGAAGATTTGCTGAATCAAGAAGAAAGACGTATACAATTTAGACTCTAAGTGTTTTACATTCTATGCTAGACATACACTGTGATTTTTCCTTTTTCAGTGATATAGTTTATGGATTCTTTCTATGCAGGTGCAAAGAGAAAGAATACTAGAGCAGATAAGTTTATTTCTCCTAGGGAATATTATTCCTACAAGCTGCAAATTCGACCTAAGAACATGCTATTGCGAGCAGGGAGATGTTTCCAACAGTATATAGTAGAAATGTATGTGAAGATTGAGAATACGAGACTAGACTATTTTCGAAACAATCAGGAAACAATTAGAGCTGACCTATATAAAGGTATTTTGGATTCATTGGATAACGGAGAAACTATTGCTTCTAATGTTGGTCGAAGGGTGATATTACCGCCGACTTATATTGGGGGTCCTCGGGATATGAAGAAGAGGTATTTAAATGTCATGGCATTAGTGCAGAGATTTGGCAAGCCAGATTTGTTTGTTACGGTTACATGTAATGCTAACTGGCCTGAAATAAAGGATGAGCTAGCTGCTGGTGAAAAGGCACAGAACAGACCTGATTTGGTTTCTAGAATTTTTAGAGCAAAATTGATTGCACTAAAAAAAGAGATCATGGAAAGGAAGGTGTTTGGTGAGGTTGTTGCAATGGTGTATGTGGTTGAATTTCAGAAAAGAGGTTTGCCACATGCTCATTTTTTAATTATTCTAAAACCTGAATATAAGATGAAATGTCCTGCAGATTATGATAGGTTTGTTTGTGCTGAAATACCTTCTGAGACTAATGCCGATCTTAGGCGAGTTGTCTTGGCACATATGATGCATGGCCCTTGTGGCGAACTGAACCCAGAATGTCCATGTATGCGGACACGTGGTCTTAAATTAAGTTGCAAGAATAGGTATCCAAAACAGTTTTGTAATGAAATTACTAATAGTAAAGATGGCTATCCAATTTATCGTAGGAGAGAAACTGGAGAAAAAGTAGTTATAAGAAATGCAGAGCTTGATAATCAGTGGGTCATTCCATATAACCCTTATCTTTCTTTACTATTTGATTGTCATATAAATGTTGAGGTGTGTTCTACAATTAAAGCAGTAAAGTACCTATATAAGTATGTATATAAGGGTCATGATAGAATTTCTTATAATGTAGTGTCGTGCAATAATGAAGTTGTGGATGAGATTAAGTAGTATCAATCAGGCCGATGGGTATCTCCTTGTGAAGCTGCATGGAGAATCTTCGGTTTTGATTTGTTCGAGATGCACCCTCCGGTTTTACCTTTGCAGGTTCATTTACCAAATATGCAGACCGTTTGTGTTCATCCTCATGAAAGGTTACAAGCTGTTGTTTCAAATTCTAAACGCTCTAGAACTCAGTTGACTGAATTTTTTGCTATGAATTCTGCTTCTGAAGATGGGTTGGGATACTTATATGGTGAATTTTGTGAGCACTACACATGGGAGCAAAGTACTAAGACATGGAAACAAAGGGTCCAAAATAAGCTATCAATTGGGAGATTATCATTTGTATATCCTGCAGAGGGTGAACGGTTTTTCCTAAGACTTTTATTGCTGCATGTAAGAAGTCCTAAGTCATTTGAGGATTTAAGAACTGTCAATGGCCATCTTTATCCAACTTTCCAAGAAGCTGCTGTAAAACTTGGAATTATAGAAGATGATGATGCAGCTGAACTAACTCTGTTTGAAGCTTGTGAGACTCATATGCCTGCTGCCTTGCGACGCTTATTTGCAACAGTCCTTATATTTTGTCAGCCGAGTAATACTGCTGCTTTATGGGAAAAGTATTATCCTTTTCTTGGTGAAGACTTCTCTCACAAATTTCCACAGCAACTTCAAAAAGTGCAGCAGCTCACTGTAAGAGCTATTGAACAGAACCTTGAAGCCATGGGAAAATCACTTGCTTTTTTTGGTCTAGATTATTTAAATTCCCTGGTTAATGATGAGTTCAGACGGACAAAGGACATTCTAGATGCCCTTGATGCTCCTATCCCAGAAGAATGCTTAGGTTGTCGCTCTAAGTTGAACTGCGCACAGAATGCTGCTTTTGTGTGTATTATGGATCATGTTCTACATCAAAAGGGTGGTGCTTTTTTTATTGATGGTCCTGGGGGCACGGGAAAAACTTTTTTGTACAATGCTTTATATGCAGAAGTGCGGCTCATGAACAAGATTGTTTTACCTACAGCTACTTCCGGAATTGCTGCAGCAAACATTCCCTCAGGTAGAACTGCTCATTCAAGGTTCAAAATACCAATTGATAGTGAATCTTCTTTGGCGTGTGATGTTCCTAAGCAAGGTAGTTTAGCAGCACTGTTAAAGGAAACATCCCTTATAATATGGGACGAGGCTTCAATGGCTAAGAAACAAAACATTGAGTCTTTGGATCTCTTGCTCCAAGATATATGTGATAATAAGTTTACATTTGGAGGCAAGGTAGTTGTTTTCGGGGGTGATTTTAGGCAAGTGTTACCAGTGGTCCCTCAGAAAACTATGAAGGAAGTTGTTCAAGAAAGTATTGTTACTTCTTATTTGTGGCCTAAGTTTATCAAGTTCCGGCTGACAGAAAATATTAGAGCAAGAGATGATCCTACTTACTCTGCTTTTTTGCTTGATTTGGGAGATGGGAAATTACAGCAGACAGAAATTGCATCCATCGAGTTGCCACAAGATATTGTCCATTCTACTAACCTAACAGACTTAGTCTCAACTGTTACAGTCCAAACATTTCCAGAAGTTGCTCAGGGACAGGTTGATAGTCAAGTTTTCACTAAGAAAGCAATTCTAACGCCTATGAATGATGATGTTGATTCAATTAATGCATCCATGATTGAGCAATTCCCTGGTCAGACTGTAAGATACAGGAGCTTTGATGCCATTTTGAATGATACATGTAATATCTATCCAACAGAATTCATCAACAAGCTATGCCCTGGTGGTATGAGTCCTCATGAGTTGATATTAAGGAAAATTGCCCTGTTATACTGTTGAGAAATTTACTCCCTTCTTCGGGCTTATGCAATGGCACAAGACTTATTTGCAAGAGATTTTTTCCAAATGTAATCCAATGTACTATAGCTGTTGGCCACTACAAAGGAGAAACAGTTTTCATACACAAAGTCAATTTAAGACCTCCTACTGGTGCTAACTATCCATTTCAGTTTGAAAGAAAACAATTTCCTATCAAGCTAAGCTTCGCAATGACAATTAATAAATCCCAAGGACAAACTCTAAATCAAGTATCGATTTATCTTCCGCGTCCATGCTTTTCACATGGATAGCTTTATGTCGCATTATCTCGATCTAAGAAAGCACAGGATGTCTGTGTCTTTACCAAAAAACTTACAGAGAAGGGTTCTACAGTTGCTGTTACTAATGTAGTGTCTTTTGAACTTTTACGTTTATCCGGTATTCTAGAAAATGATGCATAGTAGTTTTCAGTATGTGTGTATGCTGAAGGGTGAAACAAATGTATAGCAACTGTTGTTATTCCATCTGCACAGGTAGCTTAAGCTTTTGTTCCATTCATTCTTTTTGCAATGGTGCTATTTTGCTGATATTGTTTCCTTTCCCTCTTGAAAAACAATTTTCAGTTCCCTAACTCTTGTTGCTTAATTTATAGGAACTAATTTACAGCTTGAACAATTCATACATTGTTAAATATGAAGACCCTTTAGTGCACCAGGTAAACATAAACATCACATGGCAAGCATTTTAAACTGTCATTGCTGCACTATTGTAAACTATCAGTCATTACTTACTTGATTAAGTACAATAAGGTCTATAAATAATAAGAGTGCCTTGGCTCTCAAAGATAGTTTTCTCAGTTAATTTACAATTCAAATGAGCATTATTTTTTCCCTTTACAGTTCATTTATTCTACTTTCCTGGCACGCAAATTCATGCAACAATATACCTGAATATGAGCTATTTTCTTGTTCAAAAATTTATGCTTCAAATTGTATGATTGACATAAGAAATGTAGTTGGAAGTCATAGTTTTTCTAGGTACTTGCACATTGCCTTCAACGAAATTTTCAAATTGTGGTCACAAGAAGTCATGCATACTCATTAAGGCTGATGTATTTTTGAAAAGGTCATAATTGATGATCATTTGCCAATCATTCTAATTGCTGTAATCTATAGAGAATCTTGTAATGAATGGCTAAATTGGTTATAGCTCAAGATTTCTGGGGTTTTTTTCCTATACTTGAAACTATTTGCAGGAATATGCATGAGCTTATAAAGGAGGTATTGTTTCCTTCTTCTAGGATTGAAATCGTCTTAGAATACACTCATGCCATTTACAGTATCATTACACATGTTTCAGCATTCAGGCATCGTCTATGCAAAGGAAAATCACATCCAGCTTGGTAAGAGCTTTTTTCCAAGTTCTTAATGTTCCTTACATAATTTATCCTGTAATATATACAGATTATGCTTGTGTTGTGCTGGATTAGTGTTTTCCGGTGTTTATGTTCTAAGCAAAAGCTAAGGTTAACTGACCAGAGTATTTGCATTATGCTTTACTGTTCTTAGGTTGTTGTTTCATTGAATTATATGTGCTCTGAAATTCTTCTACACACATTCTTATAATTTACAATAAATGTGACAAAATCTATGCTGTATTTCCTTGTTGTTAAGCTGTTTAGAAAAAATGTATAGCACCTTATTAGTAATTATATGAATAGCAATATATATAATAAATGTGTATACAAATTTAGATAACGCTTCGGATTTAGAGTGTGAATATTCTTCAAACGAATATTTTTCTAGATTAGTTATCCACAACGAAATGCATGCTATTTTTGTAAATAGAAAGACTGATTTTAAATAGAGGTTATTGTCAATTTTTTGTCTAAATATAGATTTGGGCTGTGTGTTTTTTTTGGATATATAAATATATAATGGGCTTTGTAAAATGTGGCCCACATTTAAAATGGCATCATTCAAATTTGAAAAGCTAATCACATATGTTAAGTTAGTATATTTTGCTTTATGGGTAAGAGATGCAAGTACAAGTCAACTTTACTATTCAACTTTTAGCTTTTTCAAATCCAATGAGACAGCTAAGCTGCTGTACTTTACTACAACTTCAGCCACAAAAAAAAAAATATGACTTCCTTATTATATAAGTAAAAAGTAATCACTATCCTTTTAAGATTAGTGCATAAAATAATAGTATTTTCCCACTATCTTAGTCCATACTACTTTCTAGATGTACGAATAGTAGAGTAAACAATTGTAGCTTTACTGCCTTCAACAGTACTCAGGTGAAAAAAATTAGGTTAACTTTAGTACCTAGGATCGGCTATAAATACCCTCCTCCTCCCTCTTTATTCTTCATTACTTATTCTCTGCTATTCCATTTTGTTTTGAGGTATATTCTTCTTCTTTTCAGCTCATTTATTCTATTTTCCTGGCACACAAATTCATGGCTTGTGTTCATGCATTATGAGCTAACCATCACAAGAGTAAGCTATTAGCTTACTAAACAGATTACAATTTGAAAGAATTAAATCCTATAAATACATTATTCAACCTCCTTTAAATATTATCTACTTGTGGTGCAATTAAAATTAATAGTTTTATTAGAAATTTATTATATTTGATTGTACATTTCATAAAAACAAAACAAAAAACGAGATCAAATATATCGAGTGCAATTTATACAAGTAGCTCTATTTTTCTTGACATTGCTAGATATTTAGTATATTATTTTATTATAGTTGTTGTAGGTATTTTTGAAACCCTTTTTTTTTGGGGGGGGGGGGGTTTAAAATTTTTGTATATATGTTTTGCACAATGTATCTTTCATATTGTGTTTGCTATTTGTAGGGAAAAAACCTTAGCAGAAAATCAGTTTCGTATACCTTTATAATGAAAATGAATGTTTATATGTTTGCTTAACTATATCTACTTATTTTCCTTGCACTTGTAGCTGCGATTGCATTTAAATTCTTGGGTTGAAATTTTTTTATAAATGTCGCACAATAAATTTATTCTTATATAAATTCATTTGTAGATGCTATAATTTAAATTCCTTACAATAGTTTATCTTTCATTATAGTATACCTGACATGGCTGCAAGTGCTTATTACTTTACATCAATTATCTTCTGTCTAGATTAACTACCTAAATTAATATTGCTTATTTTTACTTTGTTTCAATAATTCTTAACAGAAAATGAATACACCTTCAAAGATGAAGCTTGAACCTGTGTACTTAGATGAACTTAACACTTAGAGCAAAGACTACAAGGTTAAATAGACTGTAGCTGAAAAAGGAAGGGCTCAACCATCACCAAAAAAAACCAGGTGTCATATTCCAGACAATTATCTTAGAAGATGAGAAGGTAATTATGTTTCATTTTTTATTTTTTGCAAAAACCCATGTCTTTTTTTCATCAATACTGTGATTAGCAATTGTTTTGAACTGAAAGCTTATCTTATTACTGCTACTTTTATAATTATCAACATGTACCTTTACTTACCAAGGAACTTTGTGTGATGTAAAAGTAATAGGATTTCTTTATTTTGTTTGCCTATGTAGATTTATGCATGTACTTTTGCTTATGTTCAGCTAACATATTCATTAAAGTGTGGTGTCTTTTTTATAAAGACATAATCTTAGTATTTCTAGATAAGCATGTTGTTGACCTGTATATTACGTGTCTTAACAGAAAAACAGAATGAGATGTGCTCTTTTTGGAGATCAAATCCATGCATATGAAGATGTCTTAAAACCAACTGGCCAATATGAAATATCAAAAGCTCCTATAACATATATGGATGAGCAGTACAAGATTAACCTTGAAGAGCTTCCATATCAGATGACTATTGGCCACCAGACAATCGTTCAGCGTTTAAATCCAGAAGCTGGTCCAATTGAGCCTAAATATCAGCCACTGTCAACTCTCCCACGATCGCCTGATCCTAATGGCAGATTTGGTATACTTATGCTATATTTTAATTTTATTTACAGATAAATTCCTCTCTATGATTAGTGTATATTACTATTAATATCATCTGAAGCTACATTTCTTTTTTTTCTTGCCTAAATAGATATTGTTGGTGTGGTTCTGTTTGTTGAGGATGCACCTCGAATTATATCTAATATACGTGGGCGCGACAGTCCAGTTCGTGAAATATCTGTAACTGACACAAGGTAATCAATACTATATACCTTATAGCTTTTTAGGGCATATTTAACCTTTAATGCGCTACTTGATTGAAATACCTAACAACCTATTAAAAATATTGAATCAGCCAAGACCATGCTATGACAATTTCAGCATGGAATGATCTCACTGGTAAGCCCTGTGATGCAATAAGTAATTGGGCTGAAAGATTCAATGTTGTCGGCTTTACTGCACTTAAGACTCGCCATACAAGAGGTAAAAGCAGCTCCTGTACTTGAATGCCTGTACTGTACATATATAATCTAATCTGAAGCATTCTTGAACTACATTGCAGGATTCACTTTGAACACTACTATGTCTACTAGGATCATTATGAACCCTAAAGGAGAAAGAGCAGATATGCTACGAGAATGGTAATTAGTACATGCATCATATATAGAAGAAACATAATGTACTTACCTTATTCTGTTGTGCATTGCAGGGTCAAATTATATCAGCATGTTTTTCTTGATAGACAAGAAAAAATCCTGAATGTTAGATACCCAAGTGCTGAGAAAAAAGTAGTGACCATAGCAGAACTTCGCAGCAAAAAGGTTTAAAATTCATGTTATTGCTTCAATTTAAACACAATTAGCTGCTTACAATTTACTTACTTTTGCATATGCTGTCATATACATGTTTTACATACATGTTTGGCTAAACGAATGCAGGCATCGAATGCTATTCCGGATGAAGTAGCATGGATTAGAGTCACTATACCAGACCCTGACCTACAAAGAGTTAATGCTTACATTGGCTGTCTAGGGTGTGGAAAGCGAACACATCTCCCTATTGGAACCCGCTTCCCTTGCATTTCTTGCAAAAAAGCAGAAACAACAGCTGCTTACAGGTACTTTAAATGACCTTATTTATATGTTACTTTGCCATAATAAGCTTATCTACTAATTCTAACTCCTTTACCATATATTTGTAAAGAGTGACTTTCAAGTTTGATGCTGCTGATGAAAGTGGAACAATGTCATTTACGACATTTAATGATGACACGGAAAAGCTTTTCCGAAAACCAGCAAGTGAAATTTGGAATATCAAAAGCACTGTAAGAATAATCCCTAATATTTTAATCTGTTGTTATTCATAACTCTGCTCAAATCAAATGTATTCTATTTTTATAAACCACAGTAGTAAGATATACTATGCACACTGCCCATACAAGTACACAAGTATGCTTATGCTGTAACAAGCACTTATTATGTATTTTATTCTCTGCTGCTTCAGCTTTTACTCCTTTGTTATTCTTCTATAAGTGTTGCTCAACTATTTCAGCTTTGTTGTTGTTTCCTAGATTTATTTTGAATATCGTTCATATTATCTTTCCTTAAATATTTGAATATTGCAGGGGAATTTGGAAGCCATGAACAGCGTGCTGCTGTGAACTCTCAAAGGCATTGATGTAGGGGATAATGAACTAGAGGCTCAGGATCTAGCATGAGACCTGCACTGTGAATAGAGAACAATTCCATACTTCACCTTTAATGTCAACAGCTAAAGCTCGTGGGAAAGCACCTGTTATTGCTGACCCTGATAACGATGCTCCTTTCAACACAGACAGTGCAGCAGCATTTTATGAAGCTTTTGCTGAAGCAATGCAATTTCAAGAGATCAAATTAGCTTCACAGACATTCGACACAGATTGTTTTGATATTGCAAATCAACCAACAAACAAGGGTATTGTCATTTCAGAAGCGCCAACACCAGCTGCTGAACTACCTACTTGGGCCAAACTTTCTTGGCCACGAAGCAATGTGAAGAGTAAGGAAGCGATAATTACAGATGTAGACATAGACACACTCTCCTCAGACTGATCTTCATCCTGAATTTCACCTTTCTCCTGTTTACTATTAGATTCAACATAAATGATTTTTTTGCTTATGTGCATCACTTTCAAACTCTGACTTTCTTTTCTTAATATGTTCTCCTTTTTCTGATTTTTGCTCCGTTTTCGCAGTCTCCTGTCGCAATATCTCCAGATGACTATTCATCTTCTTTGTAACATCGGCAAAATACAACAGGAAACTCGAAATATTCTCCTCCTGCGATTTGTTACCCTTAGGCATCCACACAGGTGGCGAGAAAACTTTCCCAGAGGTAGCTGTACTATCAGTGCTCGCCATTGCTATCACACTATTTCTTCCCCTTTTTAAAATGTTTATTTAAACTTTTTTTAAAAAAACAAAACAGAGAAACAAGAGCATAGCAGAGCAATAGGCAACCAAAACAAGGAAAATAGTAAAAAAACACCTAAAATTCCCACACCCGATTTGACTAATCAAACCATTTATCATCATTATAACGTACATTTCCAATAAAGTACAACTTCACAAATACATCACCTGAAAAGTCTGAAAATAGGAAGTCTCTCTTTGCTAACTGATATCATAATTTTACTAACCGTTACAATATGTAAATTAAATTACTGTAAATAAAATTAGTACACAAACCGAATTCTTTCTCATGGTCTAAGTTATTAATCAAGTCAAATATTATTGTTGAACAGCCAAAAAAATTAGTGCGTTTTTCATGGTCTAAGTAATTAACTAAGTCAAATATTATTGTGAAACTTGTAATTGTAATTAAGTGTATGTTTGACTTAAGTGTAGAATTAGTAATTGTAGGTGAATTATTGCCTATAAATTAGTGTTTGGAATGAGATCTTTTCATTGTATCAGTTAGTTTCATACATATGGCAAATATAGATAGTAATGTTAGGAAAAAACGTGGTCGAAAGCCTTTGATTGAAGGCTGTTCAACAATGATGATCGAAGCAAATTCTTGGGCAAATACTATTTCAACAAAATTGGGAAGGCGTAATTTTCAATTTGTATTCTCTGAATCGTATCATTCACAGGGAATCATAGTAAGTGTATTCATATTGATTTATTTAGATGAAGAATATCTTTATTTGTCTATTATATTTTTTGGGCTTATTTTAATATTGTTCTTGATCTCTTGTTTTTTTATATAGAAAGTCCCGGTAGATTTTGCCCGAAAGCATTTTCAAAACCTTACAGAAACGACTAAGGTTCTTTTGCGTCTTTATGATACAAATTTTGAGGCTGAGCTGAAGGTTCAGACTATTGAAAATAAAATTGTGAAGTGTTTTATCAAGAAAGGTGTTGATAAATTGATTGATTATTATGAAGTGCAAATTAATGAAGGCGCTGTGCTGAAGCTTAGGAAGGGGAAGGTTAATATATTTGATGTTTATCTGCAACTTAATAATGAATCTTGATTTAGTTATTTAAAATCATTAATAAATAAATTTTTTTGAGTTGATCTAATTCTGTGAGTTACTTTTAAAGTTGTATAGGTGATTAAATAAATTTGAGATATGGGGAATATTGATAATTTCTTCTATCATGTATGCTGACTTAATAAAATTATATGATTTAGTATAAAGTTTCCAAAAAAATGGAAATAGATTACAAATCTGTTCAAGATACTATTCAAATCAAACTCTAACTCTAAATCTAATCTGTAGTGATGATGCTATCTGTAAAAGCATACCTTACTTTATTTGCATTGTCTTAAATATAATATGAAAGATCAAAATCAAAAGGATTAAACCTAATATGTCGGTTAATGAGTAGAAATCCGCTCTTTTAGCTTTTTGTTTGTAACTCTAGAAACAACTGAATAAGCTCAAGCAAAAATGCATTTATAGTCAATTGTATATACAACGTGCTATTTTTACAACGCAAATAAATCACATATAAAATTACTTCTAATAAAAAGTTTGTAAAATATATTCAATAATAGTCTCCACTATTTTATTACAAAACCGTAACATAATAACGAATACTACATGGACCATACAGATTCGCATAAATTACTTATCGAACCGTCGGGGAGGGCACGCGCGTAGCGCGTGCTCCAACGACTAGTTTGAAATTAAAAATCCAACCTTTGCACTTTTTTCTTTACTATGGCAGCTAACGTGCGCGTTGCGCGCGGGATGATAAGCCCTTTCGGCTTAATTTTTCTTGGCTTGTGTTTGCACTTTATATGGCTAAAGGATGGTAAGACCAGATTTATCTATGTATTGTTTAGGTTTAATTTTTCTTGGCTTGTGTTTGCATTTCACATGAAAAGGACAAGATATTTGACTCAGAAATACCAAATACTATAGTAGTGAGGAAGAGAAAGCATCCAAACGATCCAGTAGCTTTTCATAAATATAACATACGATTTTAGAAAGCAACATGCTAACACTTTATATAGGAATTTACGGTGCTTATATATCTTTTGCGCTCATTGACCTAATTAGAAACAACAAGGTACAACATATAGTAGTCTAAGGTACATCACAATATAATAGATAATAGTGGCATTAATATATAATACTTAGTACTCAGATACACATGATTTAACAATACTCAGAAGTTCACAAATAATTGGAAAATAAACTTGGATGGACAAAATGCTTCTAAGAATTTAGTTTTGCAGTAACATTAGCTCTATGCAGCTCTACTTGTAACCTCTTTGTCCATCCTTGATAATTTTCTTAAATCCTTTCTTGCTTTCTTCCCCTTTTTATTGTAGTCAGTTTGGTTTCCTAACTTCCTAGTATATCTATTTCGACACAATCATAGGTTATTTTCATTAGTCTCAATTTCCTTTAAACACAATTATGGGTTACTCGTTATTTTTTGCCTTCACAAAATAAAGAAAAAAACGTCTACATAATGCAATACATTTTGTGTTCAATGACTAAAGTTGTTATGTAATTATACCATAAATCCCATTCAATATAAAGAATTTTAAAGATTATTATTCCATTCTCCATTTAATTCATAATTAATTGTGGATCTTTCAAATTCATCCATCTAAAGTCACCAAGCTCTACTTCATATGGGGGTAATAAGGTAAACAAACATTTTGAGGGGTATAATGGTCCGTGCACTATTCATATGAACAATCTCCTACTTTTTATAAGGTATGGAAAAAATCCAACTTTAAGTTAATTTCACAAAAATCCGACCTTTATACCCCATCTTCACTAACAGATCCATTTGACCTGAAACCTGTTAAGCATGTTAAAATGGAATTTATTTATTTATTTATTTTTTATTTTTTTTTTTACTCTCCCCTACTAGGGATGGAAATGGGTCGGGTCCACTGAGACTCGGACCCGGAATTTTAGAGGTGGATCCAGATCCGACCCTGACCCACCGGGTAAAAAAAAATGAGACCCAGACCCATCGGGTCTAGTGGGTCTCGGGTCTAAAATGGGTCCAACTATAATTCTTTATAATTTTTCATAATCTTTTATATATATTATAAATTTATAACTATACTACTACTTGATATAATAAAAGATGCATATTAAAAAATTGTTCATATTTTTTATACACAAATGATTTGTTCATTAAAAAGTAAAGACAATGCATGACAAAAAAAAAAAAAACACACACACACACACTTAAAAACTACTCCATAAGATTCTTGGTTGCTTGTTGTTTTGGTGACGTACTTTCTCTAAAATCTATTTTCTCAACCTCTAATTACGTAGTATATTACTAATCTAATATATCTAAGGGCTTGTTTGGCATCAATTTTGGTTTTTAGTTTCTTGTTTTTTTGAAAACTAAAAACCAAAAACAAGAAACAAGAAAGAGGTGTTTCCACTTTTTTGTTGTCAGTTTTCAAAATTATTATGATTTTAATAAGTTTAAATAATTTTTTATTCATTATGTGACATATATCATATATTATTATACAACAAAAAAACAGAAAACCATAGCAATGCCAAACGAACCCTAATTAAGTGGTTTATTTTAATAATAGTATGTCTAATATACATTTTTTTATTTAAAAAAAAATTAAAACGGGTCCATGGGTCGAATCTGGGTCCAAAAAGTGTAGACCCAGACCTAGACCCGACCTAGATCCATCGGGTCTAAAATTTAAGACCCAAACCCTAAAATATGGGTCGGGTCCAACCGGGTCTGGGTCGGGTCTAGGACCCATTGCCATCCCTATCCCCTACCTCCCCATCCTCCTTCCATGCCCACCATAACCACCACCCCAAAACACCTTGCCACCTGAACTGCCCTCCCCCCTTTGCTGCCACCCTCCCACCCCCTTAAAACCCCTAACTACAACCCCCCGTTGCCCCGAAACCCCCAACCCACTCCCCTACCTCCTCAAAACACATAGCAGCAAGAAACCTCCAACCCACTGAAGGAGTTGTGTCTTCGATAAGTGCAATTACTAGATATATCAAGGATCACTATTATGGAGATAATAAGTTCGTTCTCTTGGGGCGTCATCATCTGTTGCTAGACTATGAGAGATGATCTTTGGGCTAGTCAAATAGTTCAAAGCCCGCTAGAATGGATCCTATGAGGTCACACACAAGGGTATTGGGTTAAGCAAGTTAAAGGCCCATTAATGGGCCTCATGAGCAATTAACTGATCATGAAATGGATTGGGCTAGCATAGTTAGATTAGAATTAGGTTTTGGGATTTTGACATGGGCTCTTATTTAGAGATGAGATCTATAAATAAGATCCATGCCTAGGGTTGCAAGCAAGCAGTCATAATTCACACACAGTGAATTTTGACATCAAGGCAACCAATCCCAAAGACTCTAATTCCTCTCTCTATCTCACGGCTATCTCTCTCCTCCCCTCGTTCGTACGGCCGGCCACCTTGGTGGCGCGTGTGGTGGTTCGTGGTGGTTCATGGTGGTTCGTTGCTCGCACTTCTCCATAGAAGGTCAATTGAAGGGTTCAATTGCAACTAACTAGCATTAGTGGAGGTCTTAATCTGTGCCCGTGGACCAAGTAGAGGAATCACGCTTGAGGTTCTTTATCTCCCATTGTTCTTGCTCGATCGCACGTGGAATCACGCTTCAAAGGTACGATTATATGTTCTTTATGTGTTATGCATTAGATCTTGGGATTAGGTACTGTATGAATATGATTCATGTTTATTTCCGCTGCGTAGTACCTATAATTCCCTACACCCACCTTAATACCGCTCGTCCCTGCTCCACATAAAGCCCTAGCATCACCAACCCCTCCTTCCCTTCCTTGCTGCCCATACCCAACTAACTATCATCAATTCAGCCCACTTCAACCCACATTAACAAATCAAAACTGTAGCAATAACCTCGCACCTCCACCACCTCACCGTCAACACCAACACTGTTCATCGCCCACAAAACAGTAACCTCACCACCCACCACCAATCCCAGCCCCGCGAACTGTTGAATAATTTTGAGAATTGGAGACATAATTCATGTTAATTAATTAGATTACTTAGGCAAAGGTGTTGTAATTTATTAATAAAGAATATTTAAGCAATAATATATATTGAAAGAGGAACAAGGTTCACGAAATGAGAAAATCATCAACTGCTTCAAGAAGACAATGTCGCTCCCCCTGATCTTCGCCCGGTCAGCCGCCCGATCGTGGTGGTGCTCGCCCGATCGGGCGCGAGGGTGGTTTGGAAATCGTCTTCTTCGCCGCCTGATTGGGCAGCCGCCGCCCTATCAGGCGCGAGAAGGGAACATAATTGACGGAAATCAGATTTCTGGAATTTGGGGCTGCCGCCCGATCGGGCCACCACCTCCCGATCGGGCGCGAGAGGTTACTATTTCTGACTTTCCATTAAGCCCGATCGGGCGTGTGTCAGAGAGGAAGTTGAGACTGGCGGTTTTGTCAGTTTTGCTTGAATTTTGTCAGTTATTTTCGTGACTCTTGGCTGAAGTCTTTGCTTTAATATATATATGTTCTATGAACATATGTTGGAGATACTTGAGAAAATAATTGGAGAATATTTTCTTAAAAACCTTTGCAATTTTATTTATCATCATCATAAATCCAAAAGCTTTTATACATTGAATTGTAATCATCCTACTTGTGATTGCAATTGTTCTTCGTTGTATCTCCTTAGTAAATTTCCGTGATACCCGGTTGTAGTATAGGGTCAGAATTATACTTTTGGGAAAGTGATTCCGTTCATGCCTCGAAGATTTTCCGTTCTAATTTGTTTACTATTTTTGTGACCCTTGTTCAAACACAAATTTCCCTAACAATCCAAAAGTATAATCAACAAAGATGGCAAATGTTAAGGAATTGATGACCAACATTCAAAAGTTGGACAAATTCGAGGGTGTTGATTTCCGAAGGTGGCAGAGGAAGATGCATTTCTTCTTGACTACAGTTAGGGTGGCTTATGTTCTTGCTACTCCGAAACCCGAGGAGAAGGAGGAGGAAACTTTGGATGAAGCAAGGAAACACAACAAGTGGGAGAATGACAATTATATTTGTTGTGGCCATATTCTCAATGGTATGTCTGATGAACTCTTTGATATCTATCAGT